CGTGGACAAACCATTCACTCTTGTTCAATGCGAATGCCGTATGCTGGAATATGAGCAGTCATTTATGCCATTATCACCCGGGTGCTGATAGCTCGCGCGCGCGGGTGAGACCTGAACAGCACACGTTGATATCTGTGTTTAAACTAAACTCAGCAGCATCATATGACCCCTTTAAACATTTAAGAGCCAGAGGACGCGAGCTCGCGCGCGCAGTGAGAAGATTTGTGCATGTGCTCATCCGAAGCGCAAACCAGCGCCTCAGAACGCGCGCAAATATTAAGCTCACTCTGAAGTATTGTTTAAATGGACAAATTCACACAAAAAATCATGTCAAAATGCCCATCTTGGTAAGTATCCTATAGCAGACATAGCTGGCTGAACGTACTGGAACAGTGCATTCTCTTAAAGTGACAACACTTTCTTAATATGAATCAAACAGCAACAACAAATAAATCACTCACTGCTCTTGATTGAATAGCTTTTGTAACTTTAATAAAGATGAATCTTTAATTTATACAGTCAAATATGCAATGCTGTTTTACATTTCATTACTTTATTCAATTTCTGTACCTAAAAACTAATGTTAGACCTACCTAAAAAAACCTGAAAATCACTGTTTATTTTATTTGTATCTTTACTCTATTGTATTTATTTGTGCTGTTGCTTGTAGTTAGATTATTCTTATTTTCTTTATTTTTATTTGACAGTATAGGTTTTGCCTAAACATAGCACATACCAAACCGTACCGAAACCATGACTCTAAAACCGTGATACAAACCGAACCGTGAGTAAGTTGAACCGTTCCACCCCTAGTATACAAGTTGTAGTGTTTACAATATTTGTGAAGTTATTGTTATATATATATGTACATATTAAACGAATATATTTTCAAGCAATATACAATTATTGATAACTACAAACCTACATTTGGTCCAAGGCTAATTAGACCATATAGAGTGACAGCTTAATTTAGGCTGGTTTGCCAGCTTGTTACTTGCAACGTTGCCGCTCAAGTCGTTTTTATTCATAATTGGATTTTTATTTGTTATTTAACATTTATTCTGCCCTCCTGAGCCTGACAGTCAACATTTATGTAGGTTAAACATCTCCTTTTCACTGAAGTGTCAGGCCTAATTTGTAACCTGTTTGTGGAAAGTAGCATACGTACTAGACAGCAGTTTGAGGACTTTTGGCCTCCCAGTGAGCAACCTTCCAGTGACTCATAACTTTTCACTGTACCGCAGTGTCAGTGCTTTCGGGTTTCAGACTGTGCAGTAATGTGGTGACAACGGAAGGCAACGGCAGCTCGAGAAAATCATTAGATTGTTTTTCACGTTAAGGTTTGGTACAAGCAGGGCTCAAAGCCCTTTGCAGAATAAAAGACAGAGATTACAGCTCTCCCAATATTAATGACTGTTGCACCACATGTAGCTTGGGATATGGTTATGATGAAGGGAGGAGGGGGAGAGGATAAAAAGGGAAACATTGGACTGGTTGAGGATATTGTGTTATACTGTGTGCTTTTGGAACAAGCGATGCGTTTATAAATTGCAAGCGCCAGTGTTTTCCAAAAGGAGACAATTTGCTGGAAGTCAATTTACAGGTTATTTTTTCCAATGACTGAAGGTAGCGATTCATTTTCATGTTATTTTTAATGCTGAATTGTTTGATGAATAATGTCAAAGGTAAGATCTGACAAACCAGTACAGAGACAGGTCAGCCTTCATTTTTACCGTGAACCCCAATGCTAATCAACGGACATGCGTCACAAAACGTCTGTGACATTTCGAACAATATTGTATTACAAAGTGGTCAACACTTTTTCAAAGGGAAGTAATGAAATATGTCAGTTAATGTGTTATCAAAAGAGCAACAGACAGGGATGGCTCAAGACCTCAGCGTGATGTAGAAGGACAGTCAGTCAGGCAGTATTGCACTCTCTCTCTCTTGAATCTTGCATAGACTTCTTGGTGGGGTTGAAAGCTTGCTGGTAGTTGGTTGATTGCTGCACTCACAGTTTTTTTCAAAGGCACCATCATAAAAATAAAAAAGGAAGACAGAAAATCAAGCTATCAAATCAGCTCTTTGATTTGGTTTTGAGCCAGACGTGATATTAGGAATACCATGGCTAAAATATGCCCACATTCTCCACCATTATACATTTACAACAAATTTAGCAGTCAGATAGAATGAATCGTGGCTAGAAAGAAACCTATTATAACAAAACACAACCATTGTACAATATGCATAATATTTTAATACATAACATTGTATTTTAAAGGTCGAGCCTACAAACTCCACACTTGATTTTATAAAATATTTGATGCATATTTTATAGGCAATCACTCCATTTTGTCTCTAAGCATTAACACCATTTCCCTGCTAAATGTTACAATGCTTCATTCACACATCATGCTTCATTTGCATTACAAAACATGAATAATATTTGTAGGATTTACACAAGAGTACAATAGCATGCAATAAAGCTCCCGATGCACGGACAACAATAAAACCAGCTAGTGCTGTTATATCACTGCGATGTAAAAGGAATACTAATTATATCTCTGTGGTATAAAAGTCATATCAGCTCTCAAATCCACAGTCAATCTTATTATCCCCCCAAAATTGTGAGATTAGGGCAGATTTTTGATATGAAGTCCCTGGTGGAATTGACCCTTAAATCTGAGGTCTCCTTCAATGTAGAGTATCAGGTTGTGCTCCAAGTTGATAGGATTTAAAAAACCGAAGCTGGTATAAATGAAATCTGAAACATAAAGAAATATCTGAGAATAAAATGGCATTGAATAAGGATGTAAAATGATGTTTTGAGCAACACATTGTTTGCCAACGGAAGAGCAATGGAAGCTTTACAGTTCCTGCTGCTGGCGATAGCCATCCATTGACACAGCTGGATGAGAGTGTGGGTTAAATTAATAAATAAATGTGTTGAAAAAACCTAAAAATGCACATAGCTATAGAGTTAAAGTCTGTTTCTTTTTCACAGTCGTTTTCAATAGGAACAGTGGGCCTGTTTAAACTTACATGCTGCTAAAGTGCATGAGGAGAGTTAAGAGGATTACTTTTGCAATTTTAGACTCAATGCATTACTCATAATCCTGGGGTTGATGGTGGCCGAATTGTCAGGATCGAAGGGGGACCTCTCTGTGTGTGCCTGAAAGACAGAGAGAGTGAGAAAGAGAGATTTAGTTTGCAGAATAGTTAACCCAAAAAAGAACATTTTGAAGTAATTTTGAAGAATTGTAATGGTCGCTCTTTTAAAATTACAAAAGCAAATGGAAACTGAGGCTTTTAACCTTCAAAAAGAATGTAAAAACACCATAAAAATGCTCTACACAACTTTTACACTTTATATAAAGTCTTATGAAGCTTTGCGTGAAGAATAGACTGACATTTAAGTATTTCAGTGTTGCAAAAACTGTTGAAAAGATGAGCTTGAAAATCAAATCAGTATGATGAATCATTCAGATTGCTTTTTTTGATCTGATTTAACCAAATATATTTAAAGAATAATTATTTTCTAAATTGGATATCATTACTCATGAACTCAACTTCACTCATGTCTATATGGACTACTTTTATGATAATTTGGTGGTGCTTTTTGGTCTTTTTCATTCATTGTAATTGCCTTTAAAAGAACAACCAGTGTGAGGGTGATGAAATTATGAAAGATTGTTAATTTTTAGGTGAACTAGCCCTTTAAATGTCTAGTCTCCATCTGTATAATCTCAAGGTATTTTTGCCGAGTGCCCTTTGGGAGGATAATTATTCACTGCAAATTATTGATGATGACAGTAATGATGACAGTAATTGCTATCATCAAGAAACTCTATTACAGCATAACAGTGTTGCTGGGGCTTCTGGTACTGACCATTAACACCTTTCACAAGAATAAACAGAATCAGTTGCACAAGTGTCCACCATTACAGTTTTAATAATTGCCTTTACACGGCTTTGAATGCATTCCCAGGACATTTAAAAAACATTTTCCTGAATACCACAGCGAGTACTCACAAATGACCCAAAGATTGTTTTCAATCCTAATCATAGTCGTGATTCCGTTGGCACTTACGAGACACGCAGGTGAGCCACTACCATGTGGATTTAATTAAATTACAGAATCAATTAATCAGTCAGCCATCGCCATCTGTTTAAGGACAGATGGTGCTATAAATCAGAGATTGGTGGGAGTGCAGATGCTATGAGGGATCTCGAGATTTTGGCATGTGCAAGGCAATACAATTCTGACAAGTGATTGTAGAAAGCATTCATCTGAAAAAGCACAAAATACATAGTGTTACAAAACCTTTTTTGGCCCTGTACCAAATGACACCCGCATAACTTCTCTCGGCTTGCCACATGGCCTGCTGGGTAATAGTCCGCCATGAAGTCCACTCCTCTGCAAGCTCTACAAAAGTCCACATCGAGGAGCATGTGAGCCCTAAAATGACAAATGGCTTCACTGACATGCACAAAACTACCGACGCCAAACCAGGAATGTTTGCTTTATGAATTCACTGGATATCATTTGCATTATCATTCATATTTTAAAGTGGACATTTATATGGTAACAGTCTTATTTTAGTAGTTTTAAATATAGTAATGAAATTTGTATTTATATTTTAAAATATCTTTAATTTATTTATTTTTTTGTCATTTTTATTAATTCTTTTAAATATTACTATTTAGATTTAATTTATTTTTATAATGTATTTAAAAAATATATTAATTTAGTTTTTCTTTTTTGTAGTTTTTAATTGTTTTAATTAATGTCAATAACCCTGCTATATAACACTAAACTTTTAAGTAAACATTCAACAGTAAGTTTCCATTGAAATAATTACAGAATATATTTAGAAAATACTATTGACAATATTCAGAAATAAATATATTTCTATATATGTCTATATATCTATATTTCTATGCAGAGGGTATAAATAAATATTATGACATTTCTGTATTTCATTTTTTTTTAGATCATGTTTCATGCTGCAGAGCAACTAAAATGTCATTTATTTAAATAATGTCCTCTCTCTGAAAATATAAATGAGTTAAAATGTCAAAAACATCATATATATCTAAAACTTTGAAATCTTTAATGGAAAATATGAGCTTATTTTGAATTACTGAAATAAATGAACTTTTCCACAACATTCTAATTTATTGAGATGCACCTGTATATTGATGATCCAATTGGTCTGCCATTTTATTCCAAATGTAGTCTCACGTAGCCAGACATTCAACAAACGTATTATCTTCAGCAAAGATAATACCAATGTGACGCATACGTCTCCCGGAAATCCTGCAGTGTTCAACAAATCAGATGACAACTTCGAAACTCCTGAAGGGTTTCCAATTTTGTGTGCCATATGCATCAGACGTTCAGCCAACAGTCCGTGGGCGTGACGTCAGAGGCTGAGACTGTTTCAAATATAACTCCTGGTTGTAGGCTTTTTGAATTTATTGTGTATGTAGGGTTACGTTTCAACTTTTTCCTTTCAAAGTTTAATGGTACGGCTTTCAAATATTTAGTAGTGAGCAAGCAGTAACCTAGTGTTAAGTAACATGTGCACTGGTGGTTGGGCTAGCAAGCAACCAAACATAAAACCTTAGCAACTTCCTTGGAATGCCTCTGGAACCACTATAGCAACCAATGCATCAAAACCACTTAAAACACCTTTGCAACCATATAGCATTACCCTGGCAACCGCTCACCCAAGCACTGTCAGGGAGTTTTGCACATCCATACAGTAGTTGAAATGGAAAGCAAATTGACAAATTATTCATGGTCCACCAACTGGTAAAGCAGCATTTTTTTAACACACACACACACACACACAGCATCCATTAGATTTTTCTGTACATGAACAATTTATTCTGATCCAAACTGCGAAAAAGTGACAACAGCAGAAACTCAAATGAATCATTCCTATGCACACATCTTTGATTGATGTTGTTTAAACCATTTTGTTTCTCTTAATTCAGGTAGTAGTGTTATCTTGTGTGTCTGTATTTGCCATCAAGTGTTGAGTTGTATTTCATATCTGATGACTCAAAGGCCCTGTTCCGTCTCGCTGGCAGTCTGTGCTTCAGTCCCCATCTCCCATGTACTGGCAGCCTCATTAGAGAGATGAAGCCTTTGTGTAATGAGAGAGCATGAATACAGGTCGCTCTGTGTCAGCTGTGACTTCCACTGCTAAACAAAACACACGCGCCCACAAAAAACCCCCCAAGCTTTGACTGCCAGGATGTTGTGTGCTAAGGAAAAGACAAAACTAGGCCATCTGTGCTTGAGCCGCAATCACTGGCATTTTATTAACTGTAAACAGTCTCGCTGTCCCTCATTCTTCCTCCTCTCTCTCTCTCTTGCAGGAGTTATGGTCAGTAAGGAGGCAGGCCGCTGCACTCTGTCAAGTTCAGAGTCTGACTCAGAGTTCGGTGGTCCTTCACTGGAGTGGAGTGGAGCAGACACGGTACGCAAGCGAAACAAAGCCCTGCAGGTGCATTTTAAAGACATCTGTGAGGCACAGAATGAGGCCGCCCACCGAGGTGCCAGAGACCGCTCCGTTTCCTGCAAGGTCATCCACCGGAGGTACATGACCATGCCGGCTCGCCGCTCCATCCCGAACGTCACCAAGAGCACGGGCGTACAAACCTCGCCCGATTTGAAAAAGCGCTACCAGACTTTCCCCTTTGAGCGCAAGAAGGGAAACGTCATCAAACACACTGCTCTAGTGGAGAATTACCCGGATCAAAACAATGGCTTTTTGAGTGACGTGAAGGGCGTGGAAAGGGGGACAAGGTGCGAAGGACAGGTGCAGCAGACCCGGGTGTTGCTCCACACTACGCCGCAGTGCAGCGATGCTAAGGACTTGTGTGCTGGGCTGGACTGTTCGGATGGGAAACTCTGCCCTGATCTGTCAGACTCGGTTTTGGATCAGTCAGACTTAAGGAGGGACACCAACGTCCCGGGGAGTGGGGCCAAGCGCAAAGGATTACCCAGTGAAAGCGAGGCAGGGGCAGGCCAGCAGCCCAACTGTGCCTCCTCGACCACGCCGACTCAACCTCTGCAGGTCAGGGGTGACTGTTCAAAGATTTCTGGCCCTATTGCATGGACATCTTTGACACAAGTGGAATGCCCGGAGAGCCCCTCAGGGAGCTGCAAACGCAAAAAAGACACGGCACAGCTGAACGGATTGCAGGCGCAGTCTCAGGCTTTGCCTCATTCGGCGAGTTGCGCTTCCCAGGCTCACTGTCACAGTAGCCAAAACTCGGGCACTGCAGAGACCCGGCAGGGCATGCAGGGGCAGCTGATTGCTCTCCCCGTGGCCGATGGGAATGCGAAAGCCAGGCTTCAAGCCATGGAGGCTCTGATCAACTCCAGTCAAGAAACCATCAAAGTGCTGCTGGGGGTCATTCAGGAGTTGGAAAGAGGAGAAGCACAGCGAGAGGGGTGAGTCATAGTCTTTATGTAACACATTTAGTATTCATCAACTGTATTTGTGCAGGTTTTGTGTTTCAGGCTTGTTTTCTCAATGTGAGAAAGAAAAGATAATACCAAAAATACCAGAGTTCTATGGCTATTGAACCTGTTTTTCATCAGAGTTTGGAGAATCTGCCACTCGCTGATCGGAACTTAAAGAAAAGTTGTTTTGATTTCAGTTTGTAAACGCAAATGGGAAATACGGTACAGTATAAAGGAAGCCTTGCAAAAAAGTTGGTAGCGCCACATGTATCTGTTCACACTTCACAGTCTACATCTATCACACTGTATAGGGATGCACCAGTTTGAACATTTTGGCCAATATCGATTTATAAATATTGTATACTTTTTTCTGTAAAATAAAAATGAAATGCTAAAAACTAAAAGCAATCATTTTAAATGCTTCAAGTGAATTTAGTTATCACAACAGTATGTACAATTTGAAAAATGGATATTCAATTAGCAATAAATATCACATTTAGGCAAATGTCATTTAAATGTAAAAATAGGGAAAATGATCGGGCACAATTAAATATACAATATTGACTTATATCCAATAAATGCAACAATTCTAATATTGGCCAATTCTAATAAAGTGTATGGTACTGATATATAGTGCAACAAAGTGACAACTCAAGTACAGCAAAAAAAAAAAAAAAA